CGGACCGCTCGATCCGGAGACGAGCGCACTAACCATGAGGCCACCAAGGTGTAACATTAATTTTACATTGATAATAAAGAGCAAAGATGAGCTGAAGCTATGTGTTGCATTTACGTATGACAGCCTGAACCACCAGGAAAAGGAGAATGCGGAGGGGATCCTCTGATGGGGTGCGTGCAGTAAGAAAAAAAAAATCCCTCTCCCAGTTTCGGTCGCCGTTTTTCGCGTAGAACCCAACTAACTGAACAGCAACAATAATGCTTTATTTACTCTGGACACTTAATAACATATGCAAAGAAAATTAAAATAACTAAAAATAACTTAAGGAAAAGATATGTGCTCAAAGTCGAGCCAGGGAGGAGGCCAAATGTGTTCCAGCCTTGGGTGTGGTCAGTGACGAGTAACGAATGACGAGTGGTGGCTAAGTTCACGCCAGTTGCAGCGATTGATTCATTATTCATATGCAAAAGAGATTGGTCTCATGATATTCGTAAGAAAGAAAGCTGACTACTGGACTCAAAATAAGCGAAAAATCGGATCCACCATGTTCGTTCTTTCAAGAGAAAACAGTGATTACAACAATTATTTCATGTCAGATCTACATGCTACACAAGAGTAAATAGAATTATGCGCGTTGCTCTGCTTTTCGTGTTCGCTACCAATATGAATTCGAAATATTTACTCCTATATCGACAAAGTCGTGTTGAAGGGATGGAGCCATTAGGGGATCCTGATGCCTCGGGTAGGGAGGGGGAGGGAGGCGGTGGGGATGGAGGTGCAGAGTTAATGCGGGCCCTTATACCCCTATAGGCTCGATCCACGGACTTGCTAATCACGATATTTAAATCGTGCTTCTCTGAAACCTTTCCTCTGATACCCTTTTGCCTTGCTAAGCGCTAAAATGTTATTACTACTCAGTTATAGTGGCAAGCCTTAATCCCCCATCTGATCCGCAGTCACGAAATAAAACCCAGAGTTTCAGTTATCAAATCATTTAATGCATAATCACCTGAGTACATCTACTATTACAGCAACTGAAATCTCATGAGCAATGAGACCAGAAAACAACTTCAAAATGAAGCCTTAATCCGAGGTTATTTTTCTTATATGTATACTGAATATTTCACCTTTCAATTAATACAAGCAAACACAGTTTCATTCACTCTTCAGATATAAGGCATCGTTACCAAAAGATACCTGCGGCTCCTGAGACTATATATTTCTTTCACTACACAACTAACACAAGTCTAATATTTCAACATGAATTGATTTGTCAATTAAGAAAATCTAGCCTGCTTTTTACATGCCTTG